GTCAGTTGTCAAGTCAGGATAAAAATCCGAATCTCCAATCTTTCATCTATGTACATTCATAACCATAAGATGTCTAGCAAAGAGGGTGGTATATAGAAGTACTGAATAAGTATAGAGTTTTCGCTTGTTGTTTTTATTATTATGCATTTTCTTTTGTAATCTACAATATTTCATTTCTTGAACACTGCCAAGTAAGCAGATAGCATGTAACAACATTTTATTTTTTATTATTATTTTTTTTAGAGGGGGAGGGGGAGAGAGGGAGAGAGGGAGAGAGGGAGAGAACTAGCACAGGGGTGAGAGGGGCAGAGGGTGAGAAAGCATCTTAAGCAGGCTCCCCGTGCAGCCCAACACAGGGCTCAATCTCATGACCCTGAGATCAAGACCTGAGCTGAAATCAAGAGTCAGATGCTTAACCAACTGGGCGACCCAGGCGCCACTGTAACATGTTAAAATCCTCAAAAAGCCAGCCAGGGAGTGAGGAATTACCTGGCCAAGATGTAGAAAGGCTAGGCCTATACATTCAGAGTGCTTTTGCATTTCAGATTCAAAAGAGTTGGCTGAGAGGTCACCTGGATGAGGGTGATCCTGTTTATTAGTGTCCGGAGATGCCCTGCAGAAAATAATGAAAATCCTCCTATGGAAAAAAAAATTATCTTAGGACTCACATTATTTCTTCAAGTATTTCTTTTTTTTTAAAGATTTTATTTATTTGAGAGAGAGAGAATGAGAGATAGAGAGCACAAGAGGGAAGAGGGTCAGAGGAAGAAGCCAACTCCCTGCTGAGCGGGGAGCCCGATGTGGGACTCGATCCCAGGACTCCAGGATCATGACCTGAGCGGAAGGCAGTCACTTAACCAACTGAGCCACCTGGGCGCCCTATTTCTTCAAGTATTTCAATTATGATGTCCAGCACCCAAAGATAGGTAATAAGACAACATGAGTGAGGGGGCAGTTTGAACGAGACGAAGACGGAACCGAAGCCAGGCACAGGCCATGGACGTGGTCCCGCTGAGAGCCGAAGATGGCAGTGAACGTATATTCAACATCAGTCACCAGTGATAACCTAAGTCGACATGACATGCTGGCCTGGATCAATGAGTCTCTTTGCAGCTGAATCTGATGAAGATCAAACAGTTGTGCTCAGGGGCTGCCGACTGTCAGTTTATGGACATGTTGTTCCCTGGCTCCATTGCCTTGAAGAAAGTGAAATTCCAGGCTAAGCTAGAACATGAGTACATCCAGAACTTCAAAATACTACAAGCAGGTTTTAAGAGAATGGGTGTTGACAAAATAATTCCTGTGGACAAATTAGTAAAAGGAAAGATTCAGGACAATTTTGAATTTGTTCAGTGGTTCAAGAAGTTTTTTGATGCAAACTATGATGGAAAATACTATGACCCCATAGCTGCCAGACCAGGTCAAGAAACTGCAGTGGCTCCCTCCCTTGTTGTTCCAGCTCTGAACAAACCCAAGAAACCTCTCAGCTCTAGCAGTGCAGCTCCACAGAGGCCCATTGCAACACGCAGAACTACTGCAACCCCTAAGGCTGGCCCAGGTGTGGTGCGAAAGAATCCTGGTGTGGGCAACGGGGATGACGAAGCAGCTGAATTGATGCAGCAGGTCAACGCGTTGAAACTTACCGTCAAAGACTTGGAGAAAGAAAGAGATTTCTACTTTGGGAAGCTAAAGAACATTGAATTGATTTGCCAGGAGAATGAGGGGGAGAACAACCCGGTATTGCAGAGGATCGTGGACATTCTGTATGCCACAGATGAAGGCTTTGTGATACCTGATAGAAGAGGGCCCACAGGAGGAACAAGAAGAGTATTAACGGCCTGGACCAGCAGAGCAACATCCGAATTCTTCACTCCAAATCATGTGCTTAACTGTAAAATACCCCCTTTTATTATTCTTAGAGGACTCACTGGTTTCTTTTCACGAGCAAACAATACCTCTTCTTAAAGTGCACTTTGCAGAAATTTCACCCCTTTTCCAAAGAGTTTGAGTTAGGAGCTTTTACCCTGTAGCAGAGCAGTATTAACATCTAGTTGGGTCACCTAGGGAACAAAGAGGCTGACCATGGGGCTCACTGTGTGGACGCTGGTAACACTGATTGCTGGAGAAGGTGTTTTTATGTGATACACTGAGGTGCAAACCTCAGTAGAGAAATGTAAAGACTGATTTGAATTTTAAGCTAATGTGAAATCTTGGCAGAGAATGTTTTAATAAATAAATGCCTTAAGAGTAAAAAAAAAAAAAAGACAACGTGAGTGAGAAACAGCATAAGGAACACAACGAATAGGCGTGCCTCCGTGGCTCAGTCGGTTAATCGTCCAACTGTTGATTTCAGCTCAGGGCCTGATCTCTGGGTTGTGAGATAGAGCCGTGTTGGGCTGGGCGTAGAGTCTGCGTAAGATTCTCTCTCCCTCCCCTCTGCCCACCCCCGCCTCTCTCTTTAAAAAAAAAAAAAAAACCACAACAAATAACTAAAACAAAGAACCAACAATACACTCAATGGGACTACAGATATTGGAATTAGCAGAGATCCAGATTGTATACCAATGATGACTACTACACTCAAAGAGATGAAAGCCAAGACTCACTGTTTGGGCAAAGAATAGAATGCTATAAAAATGAACATAACAGATTTTAAAAAGAATGAAATAGAAATTTTAAGACTTAAAATTACCAAAAACAAACCACCCCAAAACCAAAATTAATAGCTAAATAGATAAGTTTGACATCATGGGAGAATTAGTAATCTATTTTTTTGTTTCTATTTTTTTTTTAACATAAGCTCTATACCCCATGTGGGGCTTAAACTCCTTTTTTTTTTT